ACCACAAATGTATAAATTTGCTGACTGGAGTAATTTAGGTCACATCTCAAGCTCACCTATTATCCCCATCTACGGCTGCATTAACCAAAACTAGTTTAAATCAATCACTAACTTTAACCTTGAGTTAATTCTTGCGTTGAATAAGTACCGTATTTCAGAGCCACTTTTAATAAAGCAACGGTGATACTGAACTACAAAGATAATTTTCTCTTTTTTTCTCTCAAGATAAGTTGCATGCTAAAATATACAAGTATTAATTAGGACAACTACCTACAAGTTACAGTTTTTCCTTCTTTATACAGGAATCTAACATACATCACATTTACTCAAAGCTACAAACAGGGAATGGAAAAAAGTAATCTGAACCTGGACTATGCATCAAAGCAGAATAAACTATTACTATTATTTGTGTGTTTCTTCATGCTCCAACTTTATACTGGAACAGATTCTTTGTCAGGTTTTTGCGTCAGTAAACACAAAGGAAGCTTTTGGATTGCAGACACCTTTGCTGTTCTGTTCGTTTTGCTGTTCTGCAACGTTTGCACCTCTCATCCACTTAAACTGAACTTTGGATGAGAAGAACTGAGGATTTTTTAAATGTTTTAAAGTGGATGTTTTTGTTGTTTTGTTTTTTTCATCAGTTTTGGTACATCCATGTGGGCTCAAAACAAACTATTCAAAAATAAATGTTTGTAGCAGCCTATATTATACCTATAACACTCCCTTAGAAACCAAAACCACAATGGAGACTTTTATTTTCCACATCTGTCTCGGTTTATTCTGTATCTGTTGTGTGGGTATTTAACTTAGATTGTGTGCTGAAAAAGCTAACACAAATGTCGACAAATAGTGTAAAAGAAATATAAAATTTCTTCAATGGTTTTGCAAAAATCTTTAACCAAGCTAAAAAAACTGTTGTTGTTTACATCTATCTTTTTGACATTTTGGCAGCATGTCAAAAGATAAACCATCTACTGACATAACATGGCTGTTTTATATTATTTTATTCAATGTGTATGTGGAGAAAAAACACACTTTAAAACATATTAAAGTTGTTTAAACGGGATTTAGACGCTGATTGGGTAATCCAAAATGATTTCACAGTGATGAGCTGACTGTATGAAAGTAAACTGTAAATTATCTGTGGCCAAAACAAAAGAAACTTTTTTGACAAATGCTTTTCACATGATTACGTTTAGTGTCACTCAGGAAAGGAGATTTAAAATCAAACATAATTTAAGTATTACTGTCTTGTGTGGATGAACTATTGTTTTTTTACGTCAGATTACCTTATGACATGACAGGGCGGCACGGTGGTGAAGTTGGTAGAGCTGCCACCTCTCAGCAAGAAGGTCGCTGGATCGAATCCCAGCCAGGGGCCATTCGGGGTGGAGTTTGCATGTTCTCTCCGTGCATGCGTGGGTTTTCTCCGGGTGCTCAAGTTTCCTCCCTCAGACCAAAAACATGCATGTTGGGCTGACTGGTAACTCGTAAACACAATACAAGTATTTGTTCTTTCACGAAATGTACACAACCTGTGAATAACTTGTCAACATTCTGACTTTAGTTCTTGAAACCAGTCCTTCGACTTCATTATGAACATTTAATCTTTAATAAAACAATCCTTCTCCTAATCTTTTATTTCTTAGATATCTTAATAATAATGTCTTGACTCGATTTGAACATTAGTCGCTAAAATCTTAAACACTGGGAACAGCTCGTCAGTAAAGAATTTCTTGAAAGGGTTTTTTTTTTGGTAACAGTAGAACTCCTTTATCATCTAAAGAACCATCATCCTGTTGAGTCTCTCCATCATTCCAGCAGTATGTGCTGTAGGAATGCAAAGTGGGGGAAAGTCCTTGAAGGTACGTTCTCCTGGGTCACTCGTCCAGCTTCCACAGCCTCCACAGACACATTTGGATCCATCAGTCCTACAGCAGCAAATATTAAAATGTTGATTTTTCACTCTCGTTGTTTGAACTTTGTCAAGTGTGATTTAATTTGAACAGCAGGCAGCCAATTCATCACAGAGCCATCACGGGGATGCAAGACAAACTATGTAGGCTTAAGTCCCACCAGCTGTCATTTTACATCATTAATTAACTCAACATGCATGGTGTTGCTCTTTAGAGAGAATTCAACTCGCTGAACGTGTTCACAATGCTCAGCCCATCTGAAACACTAAAACATTTCACATACGAATGCTTAAGTATATGTTAAATTACGTGATATATTTAACCTAATCTTGGTTCTTTGCTGTTTTTTCTTCACCTATCCATGCAAACCACTCGTACAGCCTCTCCTGTCCTGTTCCCACTGTGTGATTTATTTTCAATCAGCTACAAAATAAATATATATAAAAATGAAACAGCTAATGAGGCAATTCAAATTTTTTGTTGTTTGATTTTTGCCAGAGGTTTATAGACATCCTGAGGAGATGAAAAATGTGCTCTTTTAATGAGTCCACAGGGTTGCAGCAGGCAAATAGTCAGCCAAAGCTGCAACAGTGCAGTGACTCAAAGGGCCCAAGAGAGGGAGGTGCACTGATCTCTGCTCAGAGCCTTTATGGTGCTGCTTCACATCTGCACAATTCAGCTGCTGAGCCCGTTTTCCACTGCTTCCTATAGTTAGCTAACTTGGAAATAAAGGGCGTACTTTTCTTTCTTCACCTGACACAATTAAGTTAGACTTCACACCCTGCTGTAAATTTTAAACTCTTTTACAGTCGAATGTAGCTGTTCTGCCATGCAGGCAGGCGTTTGACCGATGAGTCACTACCTCGACAAACAGAAGAAGCCAAGGTGAGTACGAGGCTGTCTAAATAGTAACCACATAACAAGGTCAAAGACCCGTTAATGGAGCTGACTCTGCTCCGTTTTAAAAGCGCTGCTGTAACTTGGTGCGTTTAATTACGTGTCTGGGTATTATTCACAACTCAGTGGCCGCTTGAGTTGAAGCAGCTCTGTTTATACACAGCTGCTTATTTCATTACATGTGGACTGAGCAAGCAGCAAGACAGACTGTGAGGATGAGGAAACACGAAGGAGATGACCAGTCATTATTGCACATTTCATGTTGGAAAATGAAACAAAATTGATCCACATCAGCATTAAACATGCTGCACGAAAAGTCAAGACCCCGGAGACCACAAAACAGCTTTGCAGCAAGTGTGTGGACTTTTGTTTTTGCAAGCACAATAAAAAGAAATGCGTGTCGTCTGCCACCTTTCATGCCAGAGTTTTACTTTAGCATTATTGCATGTGGAGAAACATGGCAGTTTTAATCAAATCTTTAAAATGACATCAGAGCTCAGAGGATGTGTTGTTAATGACTCTCAGCTACTACCACGCCAAAATGTAGCCCAAAATCTGCTCATTTGGAAAATATACAGCCTTTTTTGTGTTGGCTAAGGTCCAGTGGCTGTGGTGGCCATCTTGAATTTAATTAACTTTAAAGGTACAGTAGTTGTAAATGTACATCCAAAGTTTATTTTCTCAGTTTCATTTAAATCTGTCTATTGGTTCATGGCATATTTTGCTAACAGACAAACAAAGTTGAGTCCAAGAGTTGACGCCAAAGATTTAAGCAAAGATCTTGCACAATGCGCAGTGCCAAGAGAATGTGCTGGGGGTGCAGCTCAGCTTCTACCACACCGAACTTTAGCTGAACATCTGCAAATCTGAACTACGGGCAGTTTGTGTTTCATCAATTCAGTTGGCTGTGGCAGCCATCTTTGATTGAGTTGTCACCAAAAGTTCACCAGTTGTGTAAAACAAAAATCACTTGTCTTTTCTCTATTGGTTTATTTATGTATTTATTTATTAGCTGGGGCAGCTGTGGCAGAGTGGTTAGAGCAGTCGTCTTCCAATGGGAGAGCTGGGGGGTTGATTCTACCAGCAGTCACATGCCGAAGTGTCCCTGGGCAAGACACTGAACCCCTCATTGCCTCCGATGTGTCCCATCGGTGTATGAATGTGATAAAGCTCTGATTAATCTTTGTATGGATCTAGTAGAGTGCTGCATGAATGGGTGAATGAGGCACAGATTGTAAAGAGCTTTGAGTGTCTTGATAATATAGAAAGGTGATATTTAAGTACAGTCCATTTACCATTTATTTACTAGAGTTATTTTGCTAACAGACGATGGTAAGGTTTATAACTGAGACCAGGGTCACTCAAAGGGCTCAACCAAAACTCTAACTCTAACTCAAAGCATGTGTTGGAAGCACATCCTCACCAAATGTTAACTCAACATCTGTAATAGAGTTACAGTAACATTTGTGTTCGGTAAATTTGTTCATCTACGGCGGCCATCTTGAATTGGGTGAACTCCAAAAAGTAATCAGTTGATCTACATCCAGTGATACTTTTTGACAGCGTCATTAAAATCTGACTAGACCTTTATGAGTTATTTTTGCTAAAAGACAAACAAAGGCACAAACAAATGCTAAAACAAGATCGCCCGCCGTTTGCCTTTTGGCAGCAGGCAATAAAAACATTCAAGTTTTTACATGCACTTTACAAAAGGTGAGGAGGAAGTGATGTGCAGACTCCTCCCTGTGAACTTTGGAAAGTTTTTTTTTTTTGCTGTTGCTGTTTAACTTTCTGCACTCAGTTAACCATTCCCTCCTTCTCACCTCTGGCAGAGTGGCAGCGCCGGCGAGTTCAGAGTGAGTAGAGCAAACGAAATGAAAATAAGCAGCAGAGCAGCACTGATGTGATTCAGAAACAGGATGGATAAATATTTGCCGTGCCTGATGTGATGTTTTGTAGTTTGTGCTCATCTGTGCTCTTCCAGGAGGTTCCCGCTGAGAGGAAAGTTGTTTCTGTCACAACTTGTTAACCTGCTGCTCATTTGCTGCCGGCTTATTAGCATTTCTAACTCTTTCAAATTCACCAGGTGCTGAGCTTTGTTTCCTGTCTTGGAATAAATGTAAAATGATTTGGGGTCAAACTGTGGGCTCAGCTGAATATTAGAAGGCCCGGTCTGTTTATCTTTGTCCTCTGATAATTGCACGTGAACGAGAGTGAAATTAAAAGAGGAGGCTGCTGCAAAAAGGACCAAAAAAAAAAAAAAAACGCCTCAGATTCATCCAGGTGGCAAATTTATTTCTTTATTTATCATTTCTGCCCAAGTTCAGAGCCCTTGCGTCAGCTCGAGACAAATTATTCAGAGGCATCCGCAGAACTAAGGAACAACAAGAGCGCTGCAACAACTGCAGCAGCTCGTTTTATAACACTCCTCCAGACAAGACGCTCGCTGGCAATCATTTCCACATTTTATATGTTTGTAATAAATGTGCTGTTTCACCCTGACCTACGAGATATAAAAAAACATCTCAGTTATCTTAAATAGGATCTAAATGTTCTTGTCTGACAGCTGTCTAAAGAAGAGACTGAGTTAAGTAACATATTCACTATAGGTTTACTTCAAGGTTTCCTGCGTCTTTATTAAATCTTTGTTCAATGTTTTACTTGCCAGACGAGATAAGGACCTTCAGACTGTCCGTCAAACATACAGATGTCACTTTTTTTCACTAAAACACACACACAGGCAAATGTTGTGCAAGCTTTTGTAGACCAGTTTCTAAAGAAAATCTAATGGAAAATGTTGAATGTGAACTTCTACACTATAAAAATGTCTCCGCAGACGTTTCTAACAAACTATAGTTTTTTTATATCTAAACCAGAGATGGGCAACTTTTTTTTTCTCCAAAGTCAAAGGGCCGTATAGAGAATTGGAAAATAAATTTTCTTTATGACAGATAATCCAGAAGACCTTTTTCTTATTGTAGTGCATGCTTTATAAAGCAAGTCTTTCTAATGGACACTAAGAATATAAGATATATTCTGTAAACTGGCTCTTGTGACATTATAATACACATGCTAGCTTAACGTGTTATACATGCTAGCGGAAATATTTTATTAACCTTTATTTAATCAGGTAGATCCCATTGAGATCACAGATCTCTTTGCAAGAGAGGCCTGGGCCTGAAGGCAGCCTAACATGCATGTTTTGGTCTGTGGGAGGAAACTGGAGTACCTGGAGAAAATCCGTACAAGCATGAGAAGAACATGCAAACTCCACACAGAAAGGTCCAACCAGGGATCGAACCCAGGACCTTCTTGCTGTGAGGCAACAGTGCTAACCACTGAGCAGTTGTGCTGCCAATATATGCAAAAATAAATATTTTGCAAATATGCAAAACAAAGTTATGGATTTGTGTTTCTAAGCCTTTAAGATACTGTAGGTCTAGTTCTGGAAACACTTAAAAAATGTTTTTTTTTTTAAGTTTTGCATAATATGTTTGATTTCAATTTCCTCAAGTCTTGTTAATAAATTGCTGCTTTTTAATCAATCTTTATGTAAAAAGTTGTGTTTAAACTAAGGATATTGGGGGCCTGAGTTGCCCTCGTCTGATCTAAACTAGACCATGTTCAGTAATTGTGTTCCTAGTCGTGGGCTCTTAACTCTTAATCTGAAGCAGTTAGTGGTGAGAATGAAATAGTCTGAAATGTCTTCCTGCAGCAGATAAAGATCAGTGTAGATTATCAGTCATTTGTGTCATGATAATCCCACATGTTAACACAGAAGCAAAGGCCTTTCAGTCTAACACTTTGAAGGTGCTTTACTTCTGCATGTATAAAGTCTGACTAGCTTGAGCTGAAACATGCACTTTTCTGCCCGTTTGTTGCAGACACTCTCAGGTCAGAACTTCAAGTCTAAACCCTCGATGTTAGACTGCCATCCTCTGGACAACTGCCCACATAGGACCCCCCAGCACACAAACAAACTGTCATCTTAAATGCATGCAAACATTTATTTCTCAATTTAACGATGACATAAATTATTTCTAACAGATAGAAATGCTCAATTTATGCGTAACATCAAAAGAAAGTTTGGGAGTTTCAAAACTAACATTAGAATTTCAAGCAAGCAAAGAAAACATACTTTAGCTTTTTGTAAGACAGTCCCTGCTGCTTCACGCTTTGTTCATCACGGGCTCGTTCTATCGCAGTTTTTCAAAATAAGATTGGACATGACACACAATTGGCTGACTGATGGATGAGCCACACCATTGTCATGGATGGTTTATTTTAAATAAATTATTTTAAACTATTTAGCACCTGCTGTCCTGACCTCCTTTCTGCACCAGTGGAGAAGTGGGCGTGTCCAAAAGCGCTGGCAGGTGGCAGAGAACTGAAATCATGACACGCTGTGCTTTTTTTTTTTAGAGCATTTAGAGTTTAGAAACACTGTTTAGAATATATATATATATATATATATATATATATATATATATATATATATATATATATATACTAAAATAAACTAGTACTACTTGGACTACTGTATCCCTACTTCGCAGTTTTTCACGGGGGGCGTGGTCCCTAACACCCATGATAAACGAGGGAACGCTGTACAGCTGTAGGATCTGCAAGACTTCTGTAATAATGTTGTTTGGGCAGAAGAGTTGTTTGCTATAATGCACAGTTGTTTTTCGCAAACACCAAACATGACATCAATGCAAACCCCTTCCTGTCAAGCACGGCGGTGGAGGGGTGATGATTTGTGCTTGTTTTGCAGCCACAGGAGCTGGACACCACGCAGTCATTCACTCCTCCTTGAAGTTATCTGTAGATGAAAATATTCTTGAATGTATATGTGATAGGCGTATGCTCAGACTGTCCTTGAGTCAAGTTTTTAAAGTTATAATCCCTGCAGTGTTTAGGGATATAAACATGTCAGCAGTTGGACGTGGTTCTGATGTGTTTTCTGAGGATAAAGCAGAATTGTCTGACCTCACAAAGACTTTTTAGCTATATCAATGATTGAAGTGAATTAAAAGTTTTCAGAAAGTCACATGAAAATGTGAGCATGTAGTTCTGAATCTAAAATAAAATAAAAAATTCTAATGGAGTGAGTTTTCTGCTCTGAGTTCTAATAACACTTCTTCATCCGTCATTAGACATGCTTGTCACCGGGATTTTACTGTTTCTCCTCATGTCAGGTAAGGCGAGACTTCAAGGAAAAAAAACATTTGTTTTAATTTTTTGCATCCATGAATGTAATGTCGTCACACCTTCCCCTCCTGCAGGGGGAGGGACGTTCATGATCCACGACAGGGAGCTCAGCCTGTGTCTGGAGGGCTCTGCAGATGCAGGTGAAGTCCTCCTGAAGAAGTGCAACCTGGACTCGGAGTACCAGCAGTGGGTCTGGGTCCGTCAGGGCATGCTGATGTGTGTTGCATCGTCCAGATGTTTGTCAGCCCTTCAGAGCGAGATTGTCCACACCCAGCCTTGCCTCGAGCCAGATGTGCATCCTGCAGGATTACTGTGGGACTGTGACAGCGGCAGACTCATCAGCAGAGAGACATCGATGCTGCTGTCCACCCACGGAGGGCGTCTGATTCTCACAGAGCATGGCAAACATGCAAAGTGGAGATCAATCGAGGAGGGGGACATCTGCCAGGACAGACTCAGTAAGTCTTTACAAGAAGGGCAAACAAAAGTGGATCTTTGAATTATTATTTCTTATTTTCTCACAAACAGCTGTCACATGAAGCTCATTTTGACAACAAGTGAGAAGTCGTCCTTCTGGTTTCTTCTAAACGTAGCAGCCATGACGTTAGGAATACTCCACACGTATCAAAAGTTTTTTTATGAAGTCTACTTTCTAATTAACTTTTTTAAAGACTGTCTCTGTGCCTCAGGGAGGTCTTATCCATTTGTTGGTAATTAATGAACATGATGATTAAAGTGGCTGTTTCATTATGTTGCTATGATACTGATTGAGAGAGCAGCAGGTAACAGAGCATCATCCTCTCAGGATATTTGTCCAACTTTGACACTTCAGCTAGTCTCTCTGCACACTTTGAAACTTTAAACATTTGACATTTCAGGCGAATACAATATTTTTTATTTGAACATGTACAAAAGCACTATTTAAAGACATTCCAATGAATAGATCACCTGACAGCCCTGCAGAGCTTTGACTGCACATAATCATGTTGACTAAACTACCGGTACATGTTTTAAATACCCATATTAAAGAACATGATGGTTTTACAGTGTCTTACAGCCTGTTTCTCAAAAACTTTAATTTATTTTAGCTCAGAAGCTCTGATGAGAAATGTGTTAATGTGATCCAATTAATTTAGAAAAGAACAAGAATTCGAACAAGGTAAAACGTTTCTGATTTCTTCAATTTATTGTTAAACATATATTAAGTAAAAAAACACATTTTCTTAAACATTTACTAATAAAAAATAATCTAATGTGTGTTTTGATACATTTACAGTATTTTTCGGACTACAAGGTGCACTTAAAATCCTTTAATTTTCTCAAAAATCAACAGTGAGCCTTATAATCCAGTGCACCTTATGTATTAATTCTGGTTGTGCTTACTGACCTCGAACCTTTTATGTGGTTATTGTGAATGAGTTGAATAAAGTTTGACTTATCTGACTGTTTTGTTTCACTTAATGCAATTTATAATCTGGTGCACCTTATGTATGAAAACAGACTTGTTCATTGGATTCATAATGTACCTTATTCAGGTGCACCTTATAGTCTAAACCGGTTCAGCAGTTTAAGCCAGCCTGGGGATGAACAGTAAAATTAATTTGTTTTATAGCGTCTTGTTTGTTTCCCTCTTCAGGAATCCGGAGGGCCTCCGATGACCTGGATCCATTTGAGGAGGTAGACGATTCTGCAGGAGAACGGGCAACCATGACGAAGGAGCAGAGAGAGTATTTACGCTGGTTTTACCGCACAGAGGAGCGTGAGTACTGCTGCTGCTCAAAACATTTAGAATTCAAATGAAAGCTGAATGAAAACGTGATCATACAGCAGTAACAACCTCGAGATGAACCCAACTGTAATAGTTTTACCATTTTCCACCTGAAGATTGGAGGTAAGCTGCAGCTGCTGGTTGGTTTGATAACACAGGACTGTTTGATGTGCAGACATGTCTCAGATTAAAAAGCTTCAAACAAAATGTGCACTGGTAAAATGTCTATTTTGAATCTACTGGCAAACAATGTTTTCTCGTAATACCTGATTTTTGGGTTATGTTCATGGAATATGTTCCATCTTTAACATGATTTTTATTGAAAGAATGATCTGATTGATGTCATTCTGACTAATTATTCATGGTGGTCTACAGTGAACACATCTCTCTCGTGTTTGAGCAGGAAACACATGAATTCAGTCATATTGATTGTGAAAGGAATTGAGAATAGAAAAAATGCATTTCATGTAAAAATGCAGTGTGAATGCTTATTGCTGAATAATTTGCAGAAAAACAGCTGAACTTAGCTAAAAACTTGTTGAATTGTAGTTGAAATGGAAGAACAGGCCTAAATTAGGACAAGAAAGCTGAAAGCATGTTTTCTGAATTAGGTTGAAATAAGATCAAATCCCGGTCCGGGGTCCTTTCTGGGTGGAGTTTGCATGTTCTCTCCATGCATGTGTGGGTTTTCTCCGGGTACTCCGGTTTCCTCCCACAGACCAAAAACATGCATGTTAGGCTGATTGATAACTCTAAATTGTCCCTAGGTGTGAGTGAGAGAGTGAATTGTTGTTTGTCTTGTTTGTCTCTATATGACCCTGTGATGGACTTGTGACCTGCCCAGTAACTGGAATAGATCTGAAAACAGCTGAAATTACCTAAAAAAAAAATTTAAATGGTAGCTGAAAATGTAGAACAAGATTAAATTAGCAGAAGAAAGCAGAAAGAACATGTGTTTGATCAATTGGGTTAAAAGAAGCAGAAAATATCTGAAAAAAGCTGAAACTAGCAACAACAACAAAAACAGCTGAAATAAAAGGCAGAAAGAAAATTAAATTACCAAAAGGAAGTGGCAAGAGAGCATTTTACTTGAATTAGGCTGAAAAAAGTTGAAATGAGTGCAAAAAAATGTGGAATTAGCTGAAAAGGCTAAAATTAGCGAAAAGCAGCTAAAATAGTAGCCGAAATAGCAGAAGAGCTGAAACTAGCAGAAAGAAGCTGAAATTAGCAAAAAAGAAGTTAGAAGAAGCCAAAAAATATGTTGTTAAAGAATCTGAAAGGAGCACAAAATAGCTGAAAAAAGGATGCTGAAAATAGCAAAAAAAAGTTTAAACTTGCACAAGGAAGCTGAAAGAAGCTGAACCAGAACAAAATGTGAAAGGAGCAGTAAAGGTTGTAAACAGAGCTAAAGATTTGAAGGATGTAAAATGAGCTCAATTCATTTTCTGTGAGGAAAAAAGTGGCAAAAAAGGCAAAATATTTCAAAACGCTAAAGTTGCACCAATACCAAAAGTCATAACAGGATTGTCTTGGAAGAGCTGAATGTTTTTCAAGGATTCAAGGATTCACTGAATGTTTTTCAAGGATTCAAGGATTCAAGGCTCTTTACTTGTCATTCCACCACATGTGGTACATGGGGGGGAATGAAATTATGTACAAAGGGTTCCAGTTACATCCAACAATAAAATGTAAAAGAAAAAAATATACACTAAGCACTAATAACATAAAAACAATACGCTGAACAGCAGCATGAGTCTGTGTGAGCAGATGAGGGCGCATAAACACATCAACATGAAACAGATCAGCAGCAACATGAAACAGATCAGCAGCAACATGATGTGATTTTTCACAATGATTAATTTTTCTGGTTAGAGATTCATGAGTCTAACAGCCTTGGGGTAGAAGCTGTTCCTAGTGGTTCTACACTTAATGCTCCTTAACCTCCTTCCTGGGGGGAGCGGGGCAAAACGTGTGTGTGCTGGGTGAGTGAGGTCCTTCATGATGCAGGTGGCCCTCTTCCTGCATCTGGAGGTGTAGATGTCTGTGATGGTGGGGAGTCTGACTCCAACAGACTTCTGTGCAGCCTTCACCACTCTCTGCAAAGCTTTTCTTTCTGCCGCTGTGCAGCCTCCATGCCACACGTTAATGCTGGAGCACAGGATGCTCTCCACTGCACACCTGTAGAAGGAGGTGAGGACTGAGCTTCCCAGACCAGCTTGTCTCAGCTGCCTGAGGAAGTAGAGTCTCTGATGAGCTTTCTTGATCAGGCTGGTGGTGTTGTTGCTCCAGCTGAGGCTGTCATTCATGTGTACACCCAAGTACTTGTAGCTGGAGACCACTTCCACCACAGATCCTCTTCCAGTATGTTCAGGGGGGTGTAGATGTGTTTGTTCCTTCTGAAGTCTACTATCATCTATTTTGTCTTCTTCACATTGATGTGGTTATTCTCTTTGCACCAGCTCTCTAGATGTTCCACCTCCTCCCTGTAGCTGGACTCATCATTGTTTGTGATGCATCCCACCACCTCTGTATCATCTGCAAACTTTGCAATATGACAGCCTGAATGAGTAGCTGCACAGTCATATGTGAGCAGAGTGAACAGGAGAGGGCTCAGCACACATCCCTGAGGAGAGCCAGTGCTGAGGGTTATGGTGGAGGAGGAGAAGTTGTGGATCCTCCCTGACTTTGGTCTGTTAGTTAAGAAGTCTAGAATCCAGTTGCAAGTGTAGGGGCTTAGTCCTAGTGTGAGTAATTTGTCCATCAGGGTTTGGGGGATCGTGGTGTTGAAGGCAGATGTGAAGTCCACAAATAGTATATGGACATAGGAGTCTTTCTGCTCCAGGTGGGTGAAAGCAGTGTGGACCACAAAGGAGCTGGCACCCTCTGTTGATTAGTTCTCGTGGTATGCATACTGATGAGGGTCCTCGTTGATATTGATGTTTGGTTTTTTGATGTGGGTCATGACCAGTTTTTCGAAGCATTTAGCAACTATCAGGGTGAGGGCCACTGGCCGATAGGCATTCAGACCAGTCACTGTAGAGCTTATATATGATTTATTGAAATAGCACAAAAATTGTGGAACGAGAAAGACGCTGAACTTGTATGGAAGAAAAATGGATCACAGTAGTGTGTGTGCTTCTTAAACATTCACACTAAATGTACAAAAATGTATTTCTTGATTAATTTTTTATTTTATTTTAGGGTGCCAAGGACTGGGATTACAGATATATTAAAAAATATATTTATTTGTTTCATTTAGGGTTTATTAATGTGCTCCACCTCTAACACATCACATAAATAATAATCAAAATAAGAAAAAATAAAAGTATGTTATTACAATGGGTTCAGAGATGTGTTCTCCATGTTGCAGCCACCACATGGACATTTGTGCTGCTGGGACTGGCCTTCATCTGTCTGCTCGTTGGGTTTCTGCTGTTGGGAATGGGAGCGATGGCCAACAAGTATGAAGTTCAACAATTACCATGCAGCCTGCAAATGAACGCACCACATACTAATTTAAAGGTTCCCTGTTTTATTACCCGCAGGAGCAGAAAAAAGATAGCAAAATACAGAGAAGCTGCATCACTGGTTAAGAGAAGTGAAGGTGAGGAGCAGCCGGACCTTCCACCTCCACAAGACAACGGAACATCTCCACTGCTGCAGGAACACAAGCTCCCCATGTCTGAAGGCAACACCAGCACACTGACACCAGGAGACATTGTGGTCACATGGAAAGATGGCAACACCTCCTGCCTGTACTCAAATCCTCCTGCTGAGGAGAAACAGGAGGAGGACAAGCAGCAGAAACAAGAGGAAGTCCCAGCTGAGGAGTGTGAGGCTTGTGATGAAGTGAAGACGACAGAGTGAATAACATCATCAGCTCGTCCCACTGCTTATAAATTCTTCAGCTTTGATGGACTGTAAAGTTTGTGCACATGACAACATTCACAAAAGATTTTTTTTTACAACCTCAGAAATGAGCTCGTCTAAATATTCCTCCGTCTGTGTGATCCGTGTGTTCCTGACCCTCGTTTCAGTGGCAGGTCTTTATTTGAGTGTCTAATATGAAAACAGTACGTTAATAAATCATTTCATCAAAAGGATGCGTTGCTTCTTCTATATCAGGTGAAGCTTAAACGTCACATCTCCGTTTTGCTTTGCTTTCCAGACTGGAACAGCTTCACAGCCAGATCATAAAGTTCTGCTTGTCTCTGGTCCAAACTGGGTCAGATGGTGGAACTGATTGATTGTCGGTTCAGTGTTCTGCTCATCATCAAACACCGTTCCTTAATACCTCCTGATGTTACGCCAGCACCTAATGCCAAGCTCGCATAAAACGAAACATGAGTCAAATGTTATGTTCATAAACAAGGGAAATGGGGGTGCGGAGGGTGCTGCAGCACTCTGTGGTGGATTCCACCGAACATTACAGAAATAATGACGGAATAAGAATAAATGTCAGTGTAAGTGGGTGGTACAAATATGAAGTGATATGTTGTGAATTTATTTTTCAAAGGGACTGCAGTGGAAACTGATTCAAATCAGACTCCACCACAGCAGACTGGTAATACAGGGACTTTATCATCATTTACTCTGAAAATCACCATAACTCTTTCATTTATTTAGTAATCTTTTATCAGTTTTCTACGTTGGAGAAGACACGCTTTATTGATCCTACTTGTGCGTTTGTGTGAATTCAGTTAAAACATTATTATTTTTCATGCCACAAACAAATGTTTACTTTTGTTGAATGTTCAATTAGCTGTAAAAGCTCAAATTAGCATAAAACAGTAGCTAAAATAACTGAAACTAGTAGAAATACACTGAAAGGAGCATAACAAGCTGAAATTAGCATAAAAAAGTTAATTAAACTGAAATAAATTACTTTTTTTTTTTTTTTGGAAAACAGCTGAAATTAGCTAAAAAATGCTAAAAGTTAGCTGAAAAGGTAGAACAAGCATAAATTAGTAAGAAAGCAGAAAGTACATGTTTGCCCAATTAGGCTTAAAGAAGCAGAAATAACATAAAAGTGGATTTTTTTTAAGGCAGAAATTTGCCTAAAACAGCTGAAAAGTAGCTAAAAAAGCAGAAAGAAGTTTAAATTACCAGAAGGGAGTGGAGAGAACACATTTTTGCTCAATTAGGCTGAAAACAGTTGAAATGAGTGAAAATACTGTGGAATTAGCTGGAAACACTACAATTAACATAAAAACAGCTAAATAGTAGCTGAAAAGGCAGAAAAAGCTAAAACTTGCAGAAATAAGCTGAAATCAGAGGAGCCTTTTCATTCACTTTTCAGATGTGGTTCTGTCAGCGTGGCTTTCTGTTTGTTTCCCCCCCGAGTGTCAAGTCTTACTCATCACAGTTAGGGACCGAAGACACAGAGGTGAGGTCCATGGCACGTCAGAAGATCTTGAAACCCTTGAGCAAGGTGAGCGTGGCGGCTCTCCGTTTGCTCTGAGCTCTGGACGTCTTCACGGTGACCAGCTTGGCGGTGGAGGGGGCCGGCAGCTGCTTGTAGCACGGAGTTGTGAAGGAGGGGACGCTGAGCAGAGCCTTGTCTTCGCTGACATAAACGGGACGGATCAAACTGACGCGCTCGCCGTCCCTCTTCGCCCTCCTCACCGCCTCGTAGAAGACGTGCTGCACGGAGTGGAAGTCCCTACAGGCCGACACCTCGAAGAATAAACAGCCGAAATGAGCTGCCAAGGCCTCACCGTCACGCTGACTCACCTGTCTGAGAGGACAGGCAGGTGTTTATAACATTTACAGCGTTTTCTTTGAGCAGTCAAGGATTCAATCTTTATTCAGTTAAAAAAGATATCAAAGTCAGAAATAGCTTGCTGACATTTTAGACCTCTCCTTCGTGACCCTCTTTATTCAGCTAAAACAGCATTTAAGATCTTGCTATCGCTAACCATTTTGCTGTTGGTGTATGGTGTTTTCTGCTGGAGATCCACTTCCTGTTCAACATCAGCATTCAGTCAGAAGGCCTCAGCCTCACGTTACATTTAGACACGCATCGATTTGATGCAGCATTTATCAGAGACCTGTCACTTCCTAAAGAGCTTTAAATCAATTCCATCTCATCAAGCACTGGAAATTTTAATTTGATGGCTTAGATGATGTATAAACATGGCTGAACACTTGCTTTTTTATTTGACAAGCAATCCATAAAGAGGTTTAAGTGTTTGCTTGCTCCACTATGATAATTAGTGTGTTTCAAGCTGAACTGAAGCCCTGCGCATTAAGAGTTAGGGCCCACTCTACACCACACTGGGTATTTTTTGTTTTTTTTACTGAAGACGAGATTTTTCTTCAACACTGTTTACAGTTTCCTCCAAGTTATTATTTTTTTCAGCACGTATCTAAGTTTAATGGCCACGGGATCTATATGAAGAAAAAAACATGTTTTTTTAAGTGAGAGTGGGCGTATGTGAAGCAGACTGCTTAATAATTGTTTTTTTTTTTTTTTAAGTTCACGACCAAAATAGATGCAGCAAAAACAGAATTTAAAAAAATCTGTTTTAATCACCAAAACATCTCAGGATGTGTGTGAACAGGAGGTTCAAAGGCAGCAGGAAATCTTTGTTTCGTCTTGTTTAGCTTCAGTATGGTGTAGTTTAGACGGGGCTATATACAATCTTTTCAAATGTTTGTACCTTTTAGGTAACTTCAGTAATACTGAACCCTAAGAACAAATTGTAAATCCAGAACCACACAAATATAAACAGACCATGTGACGTAAACACATAAATACAGAGGAATACCTGCCTGTATCTTTCCATGTCCAGCTTGTTGCCCAGCAGGATGATGGGAGTTTGTGGACTGAAGGTTTTGTTGTGCAGGGAGAGTGTCTGCAAGTAGAGCTGACAGCCTCTGAAGCTCTCCACGGCATTGATGCTGTACACCACCAGGAAGGCATTGGCCCAGGACAGATACCGCTCGCAATTCACTGGGCCTTCCTGCACACACACACACACACACACACACACACACACACACACACACACA